TTGACGGTAAAAACATAAAATTAGCAATTTATTTCTTAACCGTTTTGTAGAGCTCAAAAAACAAATAATTTAGTATATTGAAGTGCAGTCATGCCCTTAATCGTTAAGAAGAAAACTCAACTGTTGTAGTTCAATTGGATAAATATATTTTGATCAAATATAGAAAATGTATTTATTTCATATTATACCAAACTATTAACATAATGATTTAACTATAAAAACAATATATTACCTACCCTGTAACAGCAAACCTAGGTACTCGGTTAAACTAATGTTATTTAATCACGGGATAAATATGACATTTTTAAGGAGATTAGTGAAAATCCTTTTTTTTTTATTTTAGTGAAAATCCATTAAGGCGAATGGAAATTCGCTTGGTCTGCGGGTTTGCCGCGGCGGGAGTATTTAACATTGGTACTACCTTGTAGCAATAAGTCTATCACCATTTGGCATTAACCATAACAACAAGTTCATCCAAATACATACTTTCTAACTTTGGATAATGATAGTAGATTTTAAAAACATATTAAAATTTTGCAAAATCTGAAGCTGTTTACGAGTATAGTATTTATAATCAAATTACATTAGAATGTGTTTGATGTTGACTTAATGTTTTGCTGTTATTATGGTCACTTTTAGTTACAATGCCAGAGTAGTTGTAATAGTTTATCGTAGAAGTTGATGAGTAGTAATATTAAATATTAGTTTATTATTAAGTGATAGAAGTTCATTGTATGTTTATGAAGTTGAAGCCGGTTTTATAATGAAAACTAAAGCTGTTAAATAGAGCCTCAACAGCATGCGCTGTATAAGCTACCGACTCAAAAAGTCAAAATGATACGCCAACTTATTTCAAACTAACGCATAGTTTTTATCACAAAACTATTTCAGTAACGAAAGCAAGGGAGAAAATAGAATTATAGACTGAAGCTCTCTCTCTGTGAGTGGCTCATTGAAAATTGTTATTTTTAAATAAAAGAATTTGTGACAACTTGATACAGTAACAAGTCTTAACTTATTGTCCGTTTGAGCGTCGATTGATTTTGTCGGATGGAAAACTCAACAACATGACATGTTGTGATGTTTTATTTTGTGTGAGCTCACTAGACAAATTTTGGTACTTTCCTGTTAAAGGGAACATTCATTATTATCGATGATTTTTTTCTCGATATATCGATATTAACAAATTGAAACATATCAGCTGACAACTACGATGAATATTGTTCAGTATCAACAAACAATAATGAAATGAAACTATTATAAAAAAAATACCTAACATAACTAACCAAACTTGCTGTGTAACATTTAAAAATTCCGTGTTTAACTTGCCTTTTCTATTATCAAACGGAATTTTTAAATGGTACAGCAAGTTTGGTTGGTTATGTTAGGTTAGCTTAGAACAGTTTAATTTCTTAATCCATGTAATAAACTATTTTAGCCTAAACAAGGTCAGTTGTCAACTTGTAATGGATCGGAAAAAATATCGATATATCGAGAAAAAAATCATCGATAATAAAGAATGTTCCCTTTAACAGGAAAATACCCAAATTTTTGTCCAAGTAAGCCATAATATGTTAAACCTTTTACTGTAGACCCATTTCAAGAAACAACTGTAATGACTATGGTGTTTTACACTTTTAACTATACAATTCATATTATACAGGCATTAGCTTTACGCTTTTAAACATAGCATGTAAACATTACTTTTAAACCTAACTAATAGGAGTCATTATTGGCTTAGTCTGAAAAACTGCATTCTAATGAATTTAATTTACGTTTAGTGTTTAGTGTGTAAGAGCAAATTGTTGGTGCATTACATTGTTTTAAATACTTCTTCAATTTGACAACACTGTAATATGGTTATTGTTTTAAAGCAAATGGTCATGTCAAATACTTTAACAAACCTCACCATAAGTGTAGATAAACTGAAAAATATTGATGCAATGTACAATTTATAATTTTATGAGCTAGATAAAACTGTTTTAGTACGTGTTTTAAACTGAAATGAAATGAGATGAAATGAAATGAAATGAGATGAAATGAGATGAAATGAGATGAAATGAGATGAAATGAGATGAAATGAGATGAAATGAGATGAAATGAGATGAAATGAGATGAAATGAGATGAAATGAGATGAAATGAGATGAAATGAGATGAAATGAGATGAAATGAGATGAAATGAGATGAAATGAGATGAAATGAGATGAAATGAGATGAAATGAAATGAAATATTATTTATTTATACAGGCAAAATTTCAGGCTACATGGCCCTTTCTTTCACTTAACCTGTCATAAATATAACACACATATTTTTACAATTACATAAATATACAACAAAACAAAATTTACTGTTTGATGATGTTTTTGTTGTGTTCTCATGGTTCAAGGTAGCCTATGTTTTTTAGAACTTTACGGGTAAAAATATAACACTAATTAAATAAAAACCAAGGGGTGGTTAAAAAAATGTGTGGCACTTGAGCATTCCATCTTTATTATGATACTACCCAAGCAGTAGTTTACAATTGTACAACCAAGCAAAAGTTTACTTAACTTATAGGCAGTGAAATAAACCCACGAGAATTTTGGTTTGCCATTTATAATAATTTACTTAAACTATTTTTCTAAATATATTTTCAAAGCTGGTTTTGTAAAATATATCCATTGAATAAATTTCTAACCTAAAAAACTATCTAACATATAACCATAGATAAAACGCACATTTTTTATTTCAGCTGCAGTTTTTCTAATACGAACAAAATTAGAGTTAAAATTATTTTTTTTATTTTTTATTATAAAACTTAAGTATTATAACCTAACCTAACCAACCAAACCTGCTGATAATAAAAAATCGAATTAAGGTTTATTAATCGAAAAATAGTTCTGTTCTTAAAATAAAACTATAAATGCCTTAAATTCTAACGAAAGATGTACAGTTAAGTAGTATGTAATCGCATTCCAAGCAAAATCTTTGACAGTGTCACCGATGTGATTCGCTATGGTTACAAACACCGTTGGCTACCCTTCCTCAGTCAATAGAATGCTCTCATTTTGTCCGTATTAAAAAACCACAGCTGTAATAAAAATGTGCAGATAAAATATACTTCCTTGGTAGATTTCCCATCCTTATGGAACAGCTGGAGCCAATTTTATCTTTAGTTCTGTCCGGTGCACTAAAGAGGTCGTGTTAATTCGTTTCTTGTTATTTCAGGCTTTTAAAACCCCGTTTAACCTAATAAAACGATACAATCATAAACAATAACTCACCTTCTAGTTATGTAACCTAACAGTAAAGCATAAATCATTAAGTTAACTCTAAAAAGATAAAAACAAAATTTCGTCGACACCAGTGTCACCGGACAAGAATTAGACACGAAAAACGAGCTTAAAAATTTACAATGGGATGGGAAGTCTACTTGTGTTGGTTAGTCTATGCTATAACTAACATAGCAAACCAATATCTTACGCTAATATTTTAGGCCCTCCCGCTATTTTGCAATTGAAGTGTCAACTATGGTCTAACTACATTGTAAAGTTGGCTAGTCATAGAATCAGTTCTTGGATTGTTGTTTAAACAAAACTATTATAAAATACATTAAAAAAAAAATAATTTTAATACTTAGTCCTACTGAAAACAAAAACATTAAGTTTAAAAGCTTTCTTGATAGGAAATGGTAGTTTACGCAACGATGGCGTAAAAATGGCGTTAACGACACGAGTAGAAAATTTAAGGTACGAGCCTTGGCGAGTGGCATAAAAACGTCTACGGGTGTCGTTAACAATATTTACGCGAGTTGCGTACACTACTTTACCTACGACCGGTATTTAATTACCAATCATTACTACTCAAAACTTCTAAAAGAGGTTATGTTTTCGTTTATAACCTCTCATTGCCACTGACATTGATGCAACGACTCATTGTACCAATCTTAGTTGATGTTCAAAGCATTACAATTTTACTTCTTCTCTCTCGATCCTTGAACCTCATTGGTCTGTTACCCGTGTTGTTAAGTAAAACTATGCTGTTATATAAGTAAACAATGATGTTATGTGAAACTTTTAAATTCTAAGAACTGAACTGAAACGGTTACTTTAAAACACGGTCTTAGGTAAAAAATAACCATATTTATAATTAATTTAAACTGTATCCATATTTGCATAGGCGGTTATCTAGTTATGCATTATGCAAAACAACAGAGAAACAAACTTTTATTTTATTAGAATTCTTGTGAAAAATTAACTTATGAAAAGAGAATAAAGAATCTTATTTTGGAATAAACACTCAATGTTAATGCACCGTAGAATAGAATGTATATTATCATAGATAAACCTACTCCCTTAGTAGATTTCTAATCCTTATGCTGAAGAAAATTATATTGTTAGTTCTGTACGGTGTACTGCAGAATTCGTGTTAACAATTTATTTATTGTTATTTCAGTAATTTAAAACCTCGTTTAAGCAAATAATACGATCCAATCACATAAGAAAACTCTTCTAGTTATATAACCAAACAGTAAAGCACAAATCAATAAATTAAACCTAAAATAATAGAAAAAAATTTCGTCGACACTAGCGCCCAGTCCGTGCAAGAACAAGGTACGAAAAACGAGCTTCAAAATTTCCAATTGGGTTGAGAAGTCTACTTGTGTTGGTTAGTCTATATTATTATGTAGAAGCGTTAAACAAAACCAAGCCCTTCCGTAATACAGAGTAATAAAAGTTTCATTAGCATTGTTGACAAAAGTGTTTCTAAAGACTACGGAAATCTTTTATTATAACTACTACCAAACTTATTTTCTTCAAACAACTCACTCCTAGCACTATCAACTTATACGAAATACACACACTCAATTTTAAACATTACATTACATTTTTTGTGTCCTTGAAATTACATTATTTAATGCCATAATACTATTAATTAGTAATACACTTTTAACTCATGCCATTACTCGAAGTAAAGCCAAGATGTTAGAACACAACACTCTAAAGACACCTCGGTTACCTGAGGAGTCCAGGCAGAGGTTGGAGATGTCACCCTCGTCTGACTCTTGGACCTCGACTTCCAGATCTTCTTGACGACCACGCTGGAGGTGGACTTGGACTTCTGCATGGCACCAGGCACTGCGGACACAGAGGAGTTGTTACGAGATTTTTGGTGCAACAGGTTCGACAAGAACGTTTGACCCGTTTGTAAAATTCCCGAGGGCGATTTTGTGGGTGGAATTGGAGTTTGAGGAGGAGAGGAGAGGTCTTCCACTCCGGTGTCCACGCTGCTTCTGGAGCTAGTGATCCTGGAGCTGAAATGCTCTTCGGTCGGGCTGGTCGTTTCGTACAATTTGTCTTCCAGCTTTAACTCCTTTAACGCCACCACCCAAGACTCTTCCGTTTGACTTCCTTTGTCGAGACCGTCGTCGTCTCCAATCTGCGTTATTTCACCCTTGGGTCTTATGTTTCTAATGTTTTGATCGTAATTCACTCTTTTGAACCTGTCTGCTTTGTCCGAGTCCACACTTTTCTTCCTCGCCATCCGGAGATATCGCTTTATTGTGTCTCCTACTGAAGGTGAAACGTCGTCGTTATCCGTCACACTACTTCTCCTCGTGTATGGTTTTGGCTTTGGTTTATCCTCTTCCACTTTCTGTTCGGCTTCTTTAGCTAGTTTTAACCTTTTTAACTCGTCTTGTATAGCCACTAAGACACTGGCAGGTATGGCTTCTGTTTGCGTCGCGAACGTCTTTACCGGAGGTTCAATGTCAGGTTTAATCTGTATCAGTGGAGGAGGTGATGTTTCACTCGTCACTTCTTGTCTCGAGTCTGAGGATCCAACCTCTTCGTCGGCGTCCTCCTCTCGCAAGTCCTGGTACAGGAAGGACCTCTCACCCCCTCTGGGTTTCCACTGTCGTCTAACTGCTGTCGCACTATAACCCGCACCAACACTTTCACCACTGCTACGGCCACTTTTGAACCCTCGCGCTTTTCTCAAATCGAAATACAACCCCTCGAGTGATTTCCTATCTGTTAAAATATCACTGATAACCTTTTCCCTGTTAGTTGATTTTCCGAAGTATCTCCTTAAAGTTTCTAAAAGCATTTTCTGCGTGTTATCACCTTCGAAGTGGACGCTCGTCGGCCTGGGAGTTCGAGCTCGCTCCTCCGCAGCCAATCTCTCGATGCTGTCCAAATGTTCTCGAAGTTTTTCTAGTAGCTCTTCGTGGTTAAACGAAGATCTCAAGGTACTAGGACTCTTTGAATCGGAAGGTTTTTCATTCAGGTACATTTCAAGCGTTTCTAAAAGTAAGTTGCTCTCTTCCTCGGGAGACGATACTGTACTTTGAGGCTGTGAGGTATTGGAAATTCCAAGGAGGAAATCTTCTTTCAATTTTTTTAGATCGAGTTTACTGCCTAACTTACGTGCTTGTTGAGGAGTCAACCTCGCAGTGGCACCTTTCTTGATATCCTCAGCCTCATCGGCAGAACTAGTTTTGTCACGACAACTACCACCGATCTTTTTTCTGCCTCCTCTCGATCTTCCGCGATGGCGGATCCCCAGAGCTCCCGGGTAAGACTGCTTCCTCCACAGCAAAAACCTCGGTTCCTTGTGGCACACTTCCTGGAAGTAAGCCTCGATCCTTGGAACATCCTCGGGCCTGTTCTGGAGTCCCTCCGGGATGAGTCTTCTCCCAGCGTCCGCCATGTATCTCCAGGTTTTGCGGGTGAGGAGCCATCTTTCCCTCTTCGGCCGACTTCTCTTCTTCTCCGGTGTCTCTTTAGAACCTCCCGGACTGACGTCGGGCCGTGGTTTACCCATGTCCTCCAGCTTTGGGTCTACACTAGTACTACTGTTACTACTGGTCTTGGTGTACTTGGGTCTACGGGGACGGTCCGCCATGGTATCGCGCTAGGTTACATGACGGCCGACGCTGACCACGACGCTGCTATTCCCGCGTCGCGGCTCGCGTAGCACTGAGCTCTCGTCGCGACGCCGCAGCCGCCGCCGCCGCCGTGCCAACTCGCGGACATCTACTATTGTTTTATGCCGCGCCTATTCTTGGATTATTGTTATTTTCGCTGTACCTATGTTTTGCCAGTATTTTACAGTCCGGCATTTGGGACGATATGTCTCGAATGATGATACTACGCCACTGCGTCATGGATTGACGGAAGTTCGCCGAGAATAAATAGCTCGACAAAAAATATCGTAGGTAAATAAAACCGGAGCGTCGTTAATTGTGTCGCCCACTCCCGAGGATCTGAAATGTCTCTTTGTAGTTTTAATGGACATCGCTAATGACTTAAGATTTTTTATCAACCCGAGTCGATCGTCCCTTATATCGTCACAGCTGTGATGAAACTAAATACTTATTTACTCTGGATATCCATTAGTTACTGGACTGTCTGCATGAAAACAGGTATACAGGGTGGCTGATAAGTAACTTGCACCCTTCCCTTAACTTTTCAACCATTTTAGATATTTGAAATCTGTTTGTATCAACCTTCTAAGCTATGAGGGGCTAGAATAATTATGGTCAATTTTGAAAACTTTGCCCTTAGGGGTAGCGGGGGTAGGGGGTAGCTCAAGATTTTCAAAGACAAGTATAGTCGAGTTTGGTATCATTTTACAGGTCTTGACAAAACAAAACAATGGACATAAAGAAAACCAAAATCGGCCCACTAATAACAAAACGGCGCCCTAAAACGTTTAATATCCTCTTTACGAGGCTTTCTCTTCGCGATAAGGTTTCCCAGCGCAGGACACGTCATGGTGGGAGGCTTCACCGCCCAAGAGTTTCTCTAGAGCTTGGGAGGAAGAGCTTCTAATATTTTGGTTCCTCGTTGTACAATGGTCTACCCGACGGCCTGAAGGTTGTTGCATCTAGCAAAACATTTAAAGAAAACTTAAAGATATCTTTAAAAAAAAATTGTAATTATTGTCTAGGTGTATAACGGCCAAATTGTTAGGTTATTATGTAAACAAATTTCAAATTGCTATGTATAATTAATTGATTGTTGAATTAGATATTTAGCGTACTGACGAAAGTTGTTCTGAAAAGCTGGTGTACCAGAGAAACGCTTAATAAAGACATTTTTATTTATTTATTTATTTATATCCAAATAATCATGAGGATGGCTGAAAATTAACTTGCACACCCTTTAACGTTTTAGCTATTCGGGATATTTGAAATTGGTTTGCAGCAACTTGTTTGGATAAAAAGAGCTACAATAATTATGATCAGTTTTGAAAATTTTGCCCTTAGGGGTAGCGGGGGTAGGGGGTTGCTCAAGATTTTCAAACGACAAGTATAGTCGAGTTTGGTATCATTTTACAGCTCTTGACGAAACATAACAATTAGCATAAATAAAATAGAAATCGGACCATTGATAACAAAATGACAGCTAAAAATGATTAAGACAATGGTTATTAGAACTAATTTTGAAATGCCATTTTGTTATTAATGGTCCTATTTCTATTTTCTTTTTGTTAATTGTTATGTTTTGTCAAGAGCTGTAAAATGATACCAAAGTCGACTATACTTGTAATTTGAAAATCTTGAGCAACCCCCTACCCCCGCTACCCCCTAAGGGCAAAATTTTCAAAACTGATCATAATTATTGTAGCCCCTCATAGCTTAGAAGGTTGCCACAAACAGATTTCAAGTATCTAAAATGGTTGAAAAGTTAAGGGGGGTGTAAGTTACATTTCAGCCACCCTGTATTATAAAGTAAGTCTAAGCCTTCACCAATTGCTTTGCAATTCTGTTGCAAGGATCTGTTTGTACATGTTTGTTTTTCTACTCTTTCATTTTTGCACAGTATTTTTGTTTTTATGTTCCAACAATATCCCCAAAGTCGAATCATTTTGCATTATACAGGGTGTTTCAGCACTCCCTACCAAAATGTTAGGGTATTATTCCTGGGTAAGAAATATATCTAAATATCATATTTAAATTGTCCGGAAGTCCTATAGTTACTCACACAACCGTCATTTTGTTTTTTCACATATTGACTTTTTTTCTAAAAAGTGGTTAAACAAATGAAATTGAAACTTTGGGCAAACATTTATGACAACTATACAAAGAAACAAAAATTTTATGAAAATTTTTAAAATTCATTAAACAAAATGGCGATTATTTAAAGTTTGGTTTCTTAAATGCCTTAAAAACCGTTGATTTTGCTAAGATTTTGCAGGAATAACTTTTTTTAAGACGATTTAGGTACAAATCGATTGACACCTTATTAGCGAATTTCCCTATAGGGAAGTAGCTATTACCGTAGGTGGCACGGTAAGACCTAGGCCCGGGACCGATTTACTTTTTAATTTTGATGTCCCCAGACGCCAAATACACCATTCGTTCAAATTTATATTATTTATATATATATGTATATAAATAGATAGATTTATATATATATATACATGTATATATATATACGTCCGTGAACGCGATACTTTGAGTAATTTTTGTCCAATTTTGATGAAATTTGGTTTAAAGGTGTAAGGCGGGATAAACCTGAATGAGTTTGCGAACCAGCATGATCGGACTATGGGAACGGAGTTTTATGGGGTAAAAATTGGTTTTTCTCATTTTTTATCCCCAAAACAAAAAACCCGTTTTCTCTTAGTACCATTTTTTAGAGCTTAAAAACAAATAATTTAGTATATCGAAGGGGTTTTTACGGTTATTAGTCACGGAAAAATTCAAAAAATCGTAAACTTAAAATTATTATGCTATTTTTATGGTGAATAAGGAAACTGTTGTAGTTTACTTGTTTATGGATACATTTTGATCAAACTTGGCAAATTAACTTTTTTATTTATTATTTGATATTCTAAAAAAAATTATTGCCCTCCCTTTAGCAGCAAACCTAGGAACTTGTTAAACATAATGTTATTTACACAGATTTAATTGCAAATCCAATCGTGCAAATGGAAATTCGCTTAGGCTGCAGGTTTGCTGCGGAGGGTTATTATTTAGAAGATTTTATAAAACTATTGCAGACAAACACTGTGACACGAGAATTTTATATATTAGATATATATTTACAGTTCTTAATTGGTGGTTAGAGGATATGTAAATTTATTGTACTTATTCATGAGATTTTGGTGACTATATTTTGAAGTGGATTATAAATTCTTGAAACAGCGGAGCACATTTGGCTGCATTAAACCAATTGCGAATGCAAAATGATTGTGTAATGGTGAGAGATTATATGTTTTTTTATCGACTAGCTGTTGTTTGATTAGTTTGGATTTTGCAAATGGTAATTCGCAAATAGTAATTCGGGGTTTTACGGGTGGTTTTTATGGGGTAAATAATGGTTTTTCTCATTTTTAACCCTCAAAATAAAAAATTTCCCAATTTCTCTCTAGACCTTTTAAAAGAACTTAAAAAAAACAAATAATTTAGTATATCTAAGAGCTTTTGTACGGTTATTGGTAACGGAGAAAACTAAAAAAATGGTAAATTAAAAATTCCCATGTTATTCTTATGGAGAATATTGTCAAATGTTGTAGTTTGCTTGTTTATTGACATATTTTAAAAATCTTTGCAAATATATTTATTTTATACTAAGCCATTAATATTTTACTAAAACACACACTTTATTAGTTTCCTTGTAGCAGCAAACCTAGGTACTCGTTAAACCTAGTGTTATTTTAATAGATTTGAGAATCAATTCTGACAAATGGAAATTCGCTTAGTTGGCAGGTTTGCTGCAGTGGGGGTATTTTTTAATATTTAACAAATATTTACTGAGATATGGTAGCTTTAGTGATACGTGAACGGTGAAGGTTGGTTGCAGTGTATGCCGAGGCATGCAGCTTAAGTCTGTCCCAACAATGCAACAGTCTCCGTTCGCTTTGCAAGTAATTTTTTGGCGATTTCAGATTATTTCACACGATAATAAAATATTACATAACCCTAAAAGTATCTTTTTTATCAATTATCTATCATTAGTCATGGCTTATTATCATTGTTGATGGCTTAAAAATTTCACAGCTTTTTACTGTCTTTAAAATTTACACAAAACACCCAAACATTTTATATTAGGTGTGGTAAAAGTCAACGTTCTTGTTTACAAACTATTCAGCTTATTTTATTGTTGCCTGAAAATATTATTATCTATTCAATGTAGGTAGTCAGTTGCTCTAACTTTTTACACTGAGTGTACACTTTAAAAGTGAGTGAAAAAAGTGGGTGTTAATTCATTTGTAATTAAATTGTCATTTTTTTTTTAAATCAACGGTTTTGAGTTATTTATTGAACAAAATTTTAAACAGCCGCCATTTTGTTTTACGAATTTGAAAAATTGTCATATTTTCGTCGTTGCTTTGTAGTTGTAATAAATGTTTGTAACCCAGGAACAATACCCTAATATGTGAGTAGAGGGTTCTGAAACACCCTTTCAGTATGTAATAGTTTATTAAGAAACATACTTTTTTAAGATTAAATTACTTACGTAATCCAGAGTTGAGCTGTGACGGGATTACGTAAGAAGTTTAGTTTTACATTATGCCCAACAGCACAGTGGCTGCAAACATGAATTTTGAATTCGAATACTTTTACATCAAAAATGTAAACTTTTGACCATTTTAGTCGTTTTACTGTCTGGACATCCTACACCAACAAGTTGTATTCCTTACGTGTTTTAATTTGACACTTTCAATCAAATGCAACCAAACTCAAAATGTGCCTTTATCGCGAATTAAAGTTCAAAATTGTGAATGACAATACAGTTCAGTTTTGAAACACATACAAATAAGTGACTGTTGGAAATGTGTAGCGAATTGTGTACGTTCGTTTTAGGTGGCCCTGCGTCTTTTTTACAGATAACAGCTAGTTTTCGTGGTTTAGTTTTTGTTCAAAGGTTGCTGTAAAGTTATTTATGAACATAAATCTGGTTTTGAGCAAAGGCTACGAGGTGAACGTGGAGGAGTATGGAATAAATGACTTTCACAATATTCGGCCAACGGTTTTCAG